TTAAGTGGGAGAACTTGCACAATTAGTGGCTGACTAAATACTTTTTTGCCCCACTGTAGGTGCAAATAGCCAGATAAGGCTAAGGTAAGAGATTACAGTACTTAAATGAGTTAGAATGGATTTTGACCCTTTTCAATCAGATCTCATTTAGAAGCAATAGCTTGCTTTTAAAGGAAGGGGATAATGATTCAGGGCAGACTGAAATGTTCTGTTTTATTGTTTGTGTGTGTGTTAGCTAAAAACTATTTCTACTGTATTTGGCTGCTTAAAGGGCTTGCATTTGTAATTTGGGAATTTTCCATAATTCTGTACAGCTGTAGCAGAAAAAATCCCTACTGTGTAATTCTGTTAACAACCATGTTTCTTCTCTTCTAGGGTATTAAACCTGCTAGTTTTAATAAGGTGACAGACCCAGAAGTGAAAGAGATCATTGAGGGTTGCATTCAGCAGAACAAATCTGAAAGGTGGGCAGTCCATTTTGTGCCCCTCTCCCTACTTGCTTTGAATTGTGCAACTTAAGAGATAGCATTTGAGTGTTAATAGCAGTTTGTTGGTACTGGCAAAAAAAAAATCTGACTAAGCAAAGCAGTCATGCTTTGTGTAGCATTTTAAACACCTGCATAAGTCCCTTTGAAGTCAAAAGGAATGAAGCTCATGAAACCATACAGCAACTGGGATTTGCCTGGCTCATTTCCAAAAAGTATGAGTGTGTTTAAGTATAAAGGGAAAGTGTTTCAGAAACACAGAATCAGTCAAAATGAAGATTTATGATTCTTGATTTTTCTAGTTTTTGTACAGTGAAAAATGATGGGATTCTACATTCCTCTAATTAATGCAAAAAGGAGTAAGATTAGAGGATGAGCTGTATTACATTGGAGTTGGACTTTAGATAAAATCTCCTCTATTTATCTTTTCCGTGTAATACAAAGAAATGCAATGCCTACTTGAATCACTCCAAAACACTGTTACATTGGAGACCTATTGCTTTAATTTGTAAGGCCTTAGTACTAGAGAAGGGGATGAATGAAACCTGACTCTATGCTCTCCTCCCCCTCAACAACTTGATCTCACTTCTCACCCATGGTTCTTCCCAGCCTCACCCATAGATCTCTCCATCTTGGTCAGATGATGGCACATTTATACAAGGATTTTGCACCAGTTTGAAAGGAGCCCCAAACTTCTATGATCCCACAGCATCAACTGTCCTTGAAAACTAAGTCCATGTACTTCTGGCTCAGCTTCAATCTATCTGAAACTTCAGTAAAAACTTAAAAAAAAAACCTTGTGGTTCTGTGGAATTATGTGTTTCTCCCTTTTGCAGGAATTCCTACCTCACCATATATCTTGGGCTTCAAGGTTTTTAAAGGGAATGGTACTTTAATGGCTTTTCAGGTCTTTCTCAAAAGAACTACTTCTTGAATGACCAGAAATTCACACAACATATAATAAGGGATGGGTGAAGGAGGAGAATGGATGGTACAAGTTATTTATTTTATTTCTGTTTTGCATAGAGTGGGATGAGTGGGATGATTTCTGCTCCTTGTTTTCAACATTTTGTGATGGACTGCTTTGAAGACATGGATCTTCTTTAGACTGCTTTTGGGGGATTGGGGAATAGAAGTAGCAATGGTGTGGAAGGGCCTTCTGATTCGAGGAGCTGTGGGACAAAGAGAAATTCCTAAGAATTGAATGGAAGTACCCTTTTGTAAATGAGAGAGGTTCCTAAAAAGCCTATCAAGGATAGGAGAAAGCAGGAAAGACATATGGCATTTATCTCTTTGCACCAGTGCTTTTCTGGATCCAAGTCTACTGCAATAAACAAATGGCATGTAGAGTAAAGCCGCCTAAGATTCTCTCCTAAAGGAATTAATTTGACTTCATCTGACTCTGCCTTTAAGTAGATGGTGTTCTCATCTGGGTTCTGGATTTGTTTTATTTGTATTTAAATTATTGCTTATTTTTAACTTCTTGTAAATCATATTGGGAGGGTCTTTGTTCTGAAAGGCAAGGTATAAATATATTAACTGATAGAATAGATATCATGTCGGTTTTGGAATATTCCCAAGGAAAGTATAATACTTTTGAAAAGAAATGCTCAGCAGTTAATACATCTTTGGGATACTGAAGGCACACTCAGTAATCTTTCATACTATTTTTATATTAAATATATTTCAGGCTATCCATCAAAGACCTCTTGAACCATGCTTTCTTTGCGGAAGACACGGGACTCAGAGTGGAGCTGGCAGAGGAGGAAGAGGATGGGCTGCATTCCTCCTTGGCTTTGAGACTTTGGGTAGAAGATCCCAAGAAGCTGAAAGGGAAGCACAAAGACAATGAAGCAATAGAGTTCAGTTTCAATATGGAAACAGATATCCCAGAGGAAGTGGCTTGTGAAATGGTGGGTATTTATTGTCATTGCTTTGTTTGTTCTTTTTCCTTGGTTGCACAAAAGTTTTTCCAGCAGTTTCTTGGGGGGGGGGAAGTATTCTATAAATGTGACCCTCAACGTTGGGAAGACTCAATTTTGTGAAAGATCTACAGTTAGATCTCGGCTCCTAAAAAAACTAATGTGCAAGAGGAAGATGGAATTTGGATAAAAGTAATAGAAGGAAACCTTTTTGGCCCTTGCTCCTTCCCTGACTTAATAAGTTTCTTCTTCTCCTTGTCAAGGCTATTATTCTAGTTATCTGTAATTTTCTGTTTGCAAATAGGGGAAGGAGGAAATATTCCCATATTTCTCCCTTTTCTTGCAGTCTGAAAGAATTATAAATAATTAATTTGATCCATTTTTATATTCCTTTTTTCTGCCTTTTTTCTTGTTGCAGTTTTGTTTTTTATTATCTTTTAGCTTAAGGTTATAAGCAATCTTGTTAATTGTTATGGAAGGTGGCTTATAAATTATGGATAAATGAATAAATAAATTCAGACTCACAGATTTATCATGTTGAGGCTGCTGATTGTATTGCAATACAAGAGCTCTACTCAACCTTCTATTCGCTGATGTTTTGAACTTTACTTACAAGGCATGATCCTTTCAGGATACCTCATAGGTTGAGAAGGACTACGGGGGCAGATGGAGACTGGTCACTTTCTTGTTGGTGGATTAGTATTTTCCTCAGCATGGCCACTGAAGCCAAGCTAAGCTTTCGTCAAATCTGGCAGTTTCATACTTAGTTACAATATGTTGAGGATAAAATAAGCAAGATACTGTCTTACTGTGAACACTCTTTACTTTCCTCCTTTCCTTTTATGGTTTTGTTTCTTTTATCATCCTGTGCCCAAGAAAAGAAAAACCTGTTTAGACTGTAGATTCTTCATTCTGCTTCACTGTTGCCTTGGTTTTGTTTTCATAAAACATTTGGCCACACAGGAATCTGACAAATAACAGCTGATGCTACTGAAAGAAGACATGGCAGTGCATCTGTTCATTTCGTATCAAATGTGTGCAGGCAAAGGGCTACTGCTTAAGTATCACCCACCCACCAGCCAACTGTGAAGTTTGTAGTGGTCCCATGATCCCTTGTCTTATGGAATGGATCCTTAATGCATTTTTGAATCCCTTTTCTGTTCCCCCCCCCCTTTGGGGATAGATTGGGCTTACAGACCTTGCTCAGCAGATGGCAGTTAAGACTCTCTTCTTTAATAGTTCCATTTAACACAATAGTAGTGATTGAATGACTTCTTATTTGATCTGTATTTCCATGTTCAACCAGGATTTTTAATGGACAAACCATTGTGCCCTAGTTTGCATATAAAACAATATATAATTAATGGATTTGCATTAAAATAAAAATAAATAAATGGGTAAGATAAGAACTAGCAAATATAGCATGCCATTATGTATGATCCTGGTCAGTATGTCCCAGAAGTGCCTTATGAATATTTCAAATATGTGGCAAGCAATATCTGGCACTTTGCAGATGTCTTTGTGATATGCTAGAGGGGTCTATTCATTATACTTTTATGGTGGTTGTAGGAATTATCTTGTTCTGTTTAATAACTTCTAAGCAGTTAAAAATAAGTAATTTACATACTAATTATTCTATTAAAACCTAACTAAAATAAGAAAAGTAAACTTTTGGGGAATAAATATTCGATGATGATGATGATGAAGAAGAAGAAATCATAATAATAACCCATTTGCAATTGTGAAAACTAGAAAGCAATTTTCCCTACCAGGTCAGCTCTTGCCCAGGTCAGCAAGAGCCACATCTGATGCTATGGCTCATGGGCTACAAGGCTTGGTTCCCTTTGCTAGGCAAACAGGGCAAGAAACTGCAAAGTGACTGAAAGGTGAACAAAACTGGAAGATAAATTGATTCTGGAATGTTACTACTAATTTAGACCATCAGAAAGGGGATTTCAAATGAATATGTTCCATATTGTAAAACAGACATTCCCAGACTGATTACATAACAGAGGCTAATGGATCAGCATCATGTTACTCTGAAAAGCAAGGTTTTCTCTGATACTGAGTTGAGTAGATAGCAAACAGTAACTGTGTTATCTCAAGGAGCTGAAATTAGAGATGCTGTGAATTTTGGACAACTAACAGTGAATGAAGTTGTGAAAGCCAGAAGAATGTAATTCTGATCTACAAGAATACCAGATAACTTGGGAAATAAAAATGTTGCAGCTAATTTATCTGCAAATCGAATTAGCTGAGAAAATAAAAAGTCAAACGAAAGAGCCATAAAGAATGTGATTCCCAACATTAAAGCAAATAATTTTTGCATGACAACCAATGTTTTATTCCCCTGCTTATGTTGTAACAATAGAACTTGGACTTAAAATCAGGAAGTTTTATGGAGGGAAAGCCCAAGTGGAAACTTAATCTAGAAGTCAAAAAAATTCAGCCAGAATTAAGCAATCTGAAGACTCTAAAACAAGGCTTTATTAAAAATGAAAATGTCAAGCTTAGCTTTATAAAACAGTGCACTATAAACTTAATTAAACAAGTTTTAGAACAAATGAGGCAACCAATTGTGGCAGTAGCACAGAAAATTCAACAATATAAAGACAGTATAAATCAGTTTAAACAAGACATCCAGTTTAGAACTAACCAATATTTGTTTTATAAAAGCCTAGAAGCTGGCCAAGAAAAAAATATGAAGTACCTACAAATCCATATAAAGAAAAAAAAATATATAAAGCTTGTGGAAAACAAAAGCAGTAAAAAAAAAAAAAGCACAATGGATTAACACAGCTGGGAAAGCATTTGTTGGATAACAAATGGAAAATGTAGTGATAGCAAAAGAAATTATTCAGATACAAATTAGAAAGAATAAAAACTGGAGCAAGTGCCTCCCAAAAAGATGAAGTACATGGCTTTTGGCTTAAAATCTACGCCCCAAGTCACAAATCTGCGCCCCAAGCTAGCAACACAACTGAATTACCTTCTGCAAACAATAAAGAGTGGATAACAGAAAACCAAGGGAAAAAGAACTGATCTTGACAACTTCAGGCCTATATCTTGCCTGCTTACAACATTCAAGTTGTTTACTGAAATTATACCAATTCTAATATATGATTATTTGAAAGAAAATGTAATATTCTCAGTGGAATACAAGGGGACTTATAAAAATTCATGTGGCCCAAAAGACCAGCTACTAATTGACAAAATGATCCCTAAAACCTCAAAGAAGAAAATAACCTTTTAATGGCCTGGAATAAAGGTCATTCTTCCATAGATGGATTCAAAAATGCTTGAAAATTTTTGGAATAAGCAGAAATATTAGAAGGTTCCCGAAAATGTCAATGGGTTCTTGGATGACTTGGGGGGAAGGAAACTAATTATCACCATTCTTTGCACTGGCAATGTTCCTCTCACAAGTAGCCTGAACAAAATCAATTGTGGGTGCCAAGTTAAAGAACAAAGGCCAAAAATAAACCATTTGCTTTGTATAGATGATCCAAAACTATAAGGCAAATCAAAAGCTGAAATCAAGTCTCTGTTGGAAACTGTCAACATATTTATTGAAGACATGGGAATGAAATTTGGCCTAGACCTGGCAATTAAAGAAGGCAAGATTATTGGAGAAGAAGGGCTACGACAGTGAATGGAAATATCATTAGACACCTGGTGCCTAAAGAAAGACACAAAGGATAAATGGAAACTTCTGATTTATCGCATGACCAACTTAAAAAAAAAAAAAACTTCAAGTTTAAATTATATCAAAAATGTTATATCTAATCCAAATGGCAGAAATATTGTTAAACCACAAGACATTTGGGCAGTCCTTCCAATTAGATATACTGCAGGGATAATTCATTGCACCCAAGCTGAATTGATCGATCTTGATCAGAAAACAAGGAAACCAATGACAATACGGCATGCACTTCTTCCAAGAAGTGACATTCACAAATAATACTTATCCAGAAATAGAAATGGTAGAGGATTACTGCAAATAAATGTAACAATATGTTACAAAGACCCTGAGAGACTGGGCAAAGAGACACTACCAAGGGAACAATCAGATAAGAGACAGCATAAGCTGCAGCTGGATAGTGGGATGAGCTAGAGGCTCAGAAGATACCCTCCCTAGGTTCTCAGGCTGTATACAAGATGGGGTAGGGGAAAGAATTGCACTTTCAGACTTGAAAGATTGATGTTGGCCTTGTGGGGTAAACCAGATAGGAATCACAACCAGATGAGCTAATTCTACTTTATTGTAAAGCTACATTGACAGAACTTTGCAAAACTGAAAGTACAGTTCTCCCCCTCATCTCCTATATTACCTGAGAAATTAGTGAGGGTCTCTTCTGATCTTGTTGCCCTGCTCACTATCCATCTGCAGGCTATGCTGTCTCTTATCTGACCATTCTCTTGGCAGTGTCTCTTTGCCCAGTCTCCCAAGGTCTTTCCTACATATCATTACAATAAAACCAACTGGAAGAAAAAGAACACAGTTGGAATGATTATATCAGGAAAAGTAAAGACTTCTACTTATGGAAGTTTGTAAGGAAAGTTCCTGAAGATAACAGAAACTAAATCAGAATACAGGAAGGAAGTAATTCAGTCAGATTAACACCTGGAAAAGCAAACCACTCCATGGCTAGTATATGCATGATACTGAAGGAAAAGTAGATCAAAATCTAACATGTTTATGGCTGAAATCTAGAACACAGGAGGAACAAGGAAAAAAGAAACAGGAGGAACAATCATGGCAACTCAAGAACAAGACCTCCAAATCAATGCCGTCAAAGATAAAATTGAACATATTTCCAACAATGCCAAATCCCAATTATTTAAAATTAAGAATGAAACTGTAGATTATCTCTTTAGTGGCTGTAGTAAAACCACTCAGACTATAAAGAATACCACAACAGGGTTGCCAAAATTGCCCATTGGAATTTATGGAGAAATACAGCTTTACTATTTGCAAAAGCTATTGGGAC